ATAGATAATATTTAGTACCCATAAGTATCAGAAAGATTTGTTACATCACTTTCTTCTTGGAAAGAAACACATGAAAAAGTAGACGTTCTTACTTGATAAGCCTAGAATAATTTTCGAAATTTAGAAATAAGTTTTTCTTTATCAGCATAGCAAGTTTATCTTTTTGGGATTTATTGGCAACTTCTTATAGCCAAAATTTCAATCAGACCTTTTTTCTAAAATATTCTCATTATATAATAAAATATTTAAATTATTTTTTCTCTGACAGTAATATTATAGTTAATACTTACCTATATATTTCTTTGATTATTTGATTATCTTTTTTACCATCAGGCTGTAGGGTCCATAAAGGCAGAAACCATTTCTGTTTGGTTCACAATTTAATCCTAGAATTTAGCATAGTGCCTGGCACCTACTCAGTGTCCAATGAAGGAAGAAATCTGGTCGAATAGGCTGACCAGGATGGTTCTAAATCAGATACCATCTATTATCTTGGAATCATCTAAAAAATTTTCCATAACGAAATTACGTGACTCACATTATGTTGTTGATGGGGAAGCATTTTCTTAGTTGGCTTTTTCTCTTTGGAGTAGAATAGAGATGGTGGTGATCTGGCATGACAAATTTTCCACAGCCACTAGGTGTTAAAGCATTGAGATGCTATCGACTTCTGCTGTTGGTTATCTCTAGAAAAAGGCTGTAAACCAGATTTAAGCAGCCAACGATGATGCCCCTCCCCTACCTCTATGCAAAATTTTGTGACTCTTCATATAGATCCCTAACTTCAATTTGGTCAACTACTTGCCTAAGCATCTGACTCACTGTACTCCACGAAGATAGCGTGATTCACAGCAGCAAGCCTGAGCGAGGCCCCAGTCAGGACAAAACCAACAGATGCTGGCAAGAAGAGTCCATGCGGACAGAGCTTCAGTCCTTACAGGCTGGTTATTATGTCCAAGGGATGTCGCAGCTCAATTGGACCAGTGATGTTGATTGGTGCTATAATTTTCCATCACACCTGTAACCGTTGGAGATTGACTGCTCTATGAAAAGCAATGCCATTATACATGTTCGAAGAATTTTGCAATTATTAAACTTAGGTAGGGTGAAAAGAAAAATCATCTCCATCTTCCTTTCTTCCTTCTTTAACTCTTCTCTCCCTTCCTTCTTCCCTCTCTCCGTTCTTCCTTTCCTTCTTCCCTTCCTCTCATCCTCCCTCCCTTTCTCCTTCCCTCCTTTTCTTCCTCCTTTCTCTCTTTTTCACAGAGAGGTAGTATGGTATAGTGAAAAGGCTTGGATTTTAGTGTCAGTTATTATTTAAACTCTTGACTTTACCATTTTCTGTCAAGTCACTTTAACCTTTTTTTTTTTTTTTTAGCTGAGCCATCCTGCCACCTGTTGGCAGCTCAGCGGCTGCTCAGCTCGTGCCGGGACTCGAACCGCTGTTGCTCAGAGCTCAAACCCTTAAGCGAGCTCTTAACCAACTGAGCCACTTGGCTGGCCCTCTCTTTAACCTTTTTGAGGCTCAGTGTCCTCATGTGTAAAAAGGCAGATAATAATACTTACGTCACAGGGCTATAGTGAGGCTTAAGTAATGTAATAACATTAGTTATAATTTATTAAGTATCAAACATGCGGATTCTCTAATTTAAACTTCACAATAACTTTGTGAGTAAAATGTCTGGTACATGGTGGGTGATATACAAATAACATGATGATGAAAATATTGGATGTTCTCTATAACATGTCTTTTAAGCATTTACTTATTTAACTCTCAGGTGTCATTATTCATGCTATTAGCTGCCATATTCCCTGCTACTAAAGTGAAACTGGTCATTCATTCATTCATTCATTCATTCAAAATATGTCCTTCAAGTACCTGCCATGTACCAGGTACTGTGTGTGTTACACAGGGGGGAAATGGGGAGCAAAAAATAAGATACGGTTTCAAACTTCAAAAGGGTTATAATTTAGTAGAGGTTGTAGATCAATAAACAGACAATTATAACCAATTGATAAGTCCATTGACAGCAAGAAATACAGAGTGGATATTATAAGAGGGACCCCCGAATTCCAATTCAGGGGGTTCAGGGAGGGTTCCTTAGGGGAAATTACATTTATGCTGAGAACCAAGGGATAAATAAAATTGGATTAGAGGTTGCAGTGTGTTGTAAGGAACAATGTGCAAAGTTACTAAGATGAGAGGGACTATAATATTTGAGAAACTGAAGACAGTTTATTCTGGAATTTGAAGGGATCGATGGTGGGAGTTTGGGCTGGGGGTGAGCAGGGCTGCTAGGTCACGGAAAGGCTTGGTGCCCGTCTGGCGGAGGTTGCCTGTTCTCAGGCTTTCTTTTAGCTGTTCCTGAGTCCTTGCTTCTTTTCTTCCTCCTCTTGGCTTTGGAAACAGGGCCTACTGTCCTGCTGACCTCCTGGACTCCTGATCCGAGTGGGGCATATGTTTCTGGTGCTTACCCCTGATCTTCACATAATCTTTTAAGCTGTGTTCTTGGTCCTGAAAAAGAAAAGCTTATCTTGCTAGCCACAAGGTGGGGCATTCTTAGTCAGTTGGCTATCTCTAAATATCATCCCTCCCCTAATCTGAGGCGTATTGGGCTCTGGGGCAAGGAGGTCCTTATCAAGGGTCTCTTCGGACCAGCACTTTGCAGCCTGGGGGCCATTTTAGCAGGCCCAGGAATCCCAGGCCGAGCTGACAGAAAGTCAACTCTCACACCACTGGGCCTCTCCCGAATATAAATGCCTCCTGGAAAACCTGAGCAAGCCAGGCTCTGTTCCATGACAACCTAGTTACCATTTCACTTGTCCTGGGAGTGGGGAGATAAATGATATATAGATCAATAAGCTGGGTGGAGGACTGATTCATTTATTGACTCACAGATAGTTTATCTTGGATTTTGTGCTACAGGCCTGTCTGAGTGCTAAGAAAAGTCTGAGGTCTGCTCAAGGCCCAGAGCTAGGAGAGCAAACATCCAGTTCTCAAGCTTCGCCTTTCTTTTGTGCGAGCAGTCAAATGCTAATTAACTCTGAGTAAGGTGACCATGTCCTTCACTGTCCAGACCTGGGCATTTTGAGAGTGGAAGCGGCTGCTGCTAATTCCTGTCCTGGGACAGTAGGCATAAGCTGGCGAGCGCAAACATGGCACTGCCCTAACCAGGAACACTGTTGATCTGACTACTGCTCCAAGTTCCTGGTGTCTGGACGTAGGGGTGAGAACCAAGGGCCAAATAATTTCTGGATCTGATTCTGGCATTATTTTTCATGCTTCCCAAAGCAGTTTTTGGAACACTCCCCATTTTTATGAAACATTTTCTGAGAGGTCATTGTTAGTCATTTTAATACATGACAGTTGATTTCTATTCAAAACAAGGAAGTGGAGTGGTAAAAATGGACAACAAGAAAGATAATCCTGAAGAGAAAAACTTGAGCTGTATCTTTTGGCTTTTATAATCCTTTATTAACTTTAATATGGAGGTTACGACATCATTTGCTTTCAAGTATTAGCCCATAAATCGTGTATTATACATTATTAGCTTTGATGATACCAGACTATATGGGTAAGTGTAATTATTAGCGCTAATTAGTCTTTGTCCAGAGGGGTAACAAAGAAGAAAATATCTTACATGAAACTAACAGATGAGAGGGCAAGGAGGCACTTTCTTGATTTATGAGCTGTTTTCTTCCAAACATGTTTCTTGCTAAAATAATAAGTAAAATGTCAGCACCATCTTAGTAGCAGTATTTTTCTCCATCTCAAATTAAGCAGGTTGTGGGAGAATTGGGTGACCAAATGTTACTTTCATTTTTCTTTCCTTCCTCCATTATAATAATATTAAAAACTATAATTTTTAGCACTAACTCCCAAAGCAGAAGTTCTCACATCTGGGGGATTTTGTCACTCGGGGATATTTGGTTATGTTTGAACATATTCTTGTCACAACTGGGGTTGGGTGCTATTGGCATCTAGTGGATAGAAGCCAGGGATGTTGCTGAACAGCCTACAAAGCACAGGACAGCTCCCACTACCCCGAGCAAGTCAATTATCTGACCGCAAATGTCAGTAGCACCAAAATTGAGAAACTGCTCTATAGCATCCTAATCATTCATTTATTTATTCATTGAACACTTACTTATTGAGCACCTACTATGTGCCAGGCATTGCACTGCTGAGGATATAGCGGTGATCAAAATAGGAAAAGTCTCTACTCTTGTTTGGTTTGCATTTGTTTGATATCCTGTTTTCTTTTCAACCATGGCTTCTACAGCTCTGTCATTTAGAGTAATCCCAATGGTATATAACATGCTCTGTAATTTGCTGAGATGTGAATGTGATTTTAATGTGATAAGAATGTGATGTGCAAGAGTGATGATCGCCTCTGACGAGTGGTGCCAGCCAGCCACCCAGAATATAAACTCAACCGAACAAGTTTTATAGCATGGACACCCCCCGTCCCCCAATCCTCTTGATGATTATTAGATCTCTCTACTCCCAACTTTAGCTCCACCATTTATTTTTGCCATATTCATTTTTCCCAAAGGCAAACTTAATCAGGATCTAGCTTCTACCTCTTTGTATCAGTCCATTCCAACTGCTATAACAAAATACCACAGACTGGGTAGCTTATAAACAACAGAAATGCATTTCTCACAGTTCTGAAAATCAGCACTGGCAGATTCAGTGTCTGGTGAGAAACAGCTTTCTGATTTACGGATGACCCTCTTCTCTCTGTGTGCTCACATGACTGAAGTGGTGAGAGAGCTCTCTGGGGTCTCTTTTGTAAGGACACTAATCCCATTCATGAAGGCTCCACCCTCACGACCCAATCACCTCCCAAGGCCCCACCTCCAAAGGCCATCATATGGGAGATGAGGTTTTAACAGGAATTTTAGAGGACATGACATTTAGTCTACAGCACCCCTTCATCTTTCATAACACAACTCATCTATACTCATGTTTTCATGCTACTGCACAGCTCTCCTGTCTGCCTGGAATGCCCTCCCTCTTCACACCCCTCCACAGTGCTGACCTTGGGAAATCCTGCTCATTCTGCAAGGCTCACCTTAAACTTCAGTTCTGTGCCCCTTCCCAGATTTCTAGGGTAAGTACTATATCATATACGCTCCACTGCTCTTCCCTAGATTGTACATTCCTTTAGCGTATGGAGAAAAAGACTCAAGAGCAAAGTTTCTGTCCTTGAGCAAGCTGTTCTACCCAGCAAATCGTCTATTGTTACCTCATCGTAAAGCTTCCCTACCCTCTCAATTCCAAATTACTGAATTTCTGTCACTAATATGCTGTGTGATCCTGTGTATTGTATTTAACTTCTCCGAGCTGTTATTTTATCAACTCGAATTCTATCAAGTAATCTTCTCACTATAACTCAAATTCTTTGAGTTCTCCAGAGTAAAACTAAAGATGAAATAAATTGTCATTCTTTTAAGAAGATACTATATGATATTTTTTTATCATACATTGCATTCAGACTCCAACCAAGTAAGACTATTTCCAAAGAAAATGTCCCCTCCTTACACATGTTTAAAATTTGAAGCCACTTATAACAAAACTTACCATGTAATTTTTTTCTTGTGCACAGGATCATCATTCATATTTTTCTTTAATTTGTACTTAAATTTTTGAAAAATTTACGATTCACCTCTTGTTATTTTATTTAGCTCTTTTCCCTCCTCAAATGAAATGAAAGTTTCATGTCAGAGAAGTGAGGTGATGAAAGTTTAAAATTATATGTCCTTGATCATGATCTGAAGCTTTCTTATATTATCAGCAACACTTTCTGTCACAACCTGGGGTAACAAAGCAAAGAGAAAAAGGAGGAATTAGAAGAAAAAGATGTAGAAATGAATGCCAGGTACCTTTATTTATTGGGTCATCAGGAAAGTCATGACGTATTTTTCTATGTTTTTCAATGCAAAAATGTGCCATGACTTTCCCAACGACCCAATACTTTATTTCTCCAAGCTTTAGAATTAAAATTATTTAAAAAAATCATTTTGGTAAGATCTGTAAATGGGTTGCAATGACTAATTGTAGGAGAAAACAATGCAAGAGGATTTCAATCAGGATATCTCTCAGTCACAACGCTTTTGTGTATTATACTTCAATAGAATATCTCCATGCATGAAAAACTGATGTTTAGATACTACAGGTGGGGCGGGTATGGAAAGAGAAAACTAGAATTTATTGATTACATTCTCTGTGCTATGTGTTTACGTAATTTATTTCATTTAACCCTTCCAACAACTCAATGTAGTATATTTACTTACTTTTGAGTTAAACAAACTGGAGCTCACTACATAGTTAGTTATGAATAGAGCCAAAATTGAAACCTAAACTTTTCTGACTCAAATGCCATATCACACAGATGTCCTCTTAGGTAGAAAATAAATGTCCTGGCCTCAAGCAGTTTAGAATCCAGAAAACAAATGGAAATATGTCTGAAAAGTGCAGAATCGGTAGACCATATATTTATCTTATTTTAAGTATTGTAAAAATAGCCCCATCTACATGACTACAAAGGTCCAGCCTCACTGCTAATAGAGCATTTGCTTTTAGTTGTTTTTCCCTTGACACTAAAACAAACGCAGAGATATTATTTTGTTAAAAAGGTTTTTTTTTTAGCAGATAATATAACATGCCACGCAGACTTTGAAGTTACCTAATTTAATTCCTTCACTTGCTATGCAAATTTGGCAAAGTATTTAATCTCTATCAGTTTCCGCTTATGAAACTGGGAAGATGGCACTTATCTCACAAGGTTTCTATAAGGATTAAGGAAATGTTTGATTCATGCTTAGTTCTCAAAAGTGATGGTTTTGACCAATTGCAGCAGCCATTATTATTGATAGATTTTGGAGAGTTTTGGTGGGGGTGGGTCTGTGGCCCTGAATGGAGCCTCTGCACATTCTGATCAACAGTGCTGGTCAGCCTGATATGTGCACCAGAGTGCTAAGTACAACAGAACCTTGGTTTGCGAACATAATTCGTTCCGAAAACATGCTTGTAATCCAAAGCATTTATATATCAAAATGAATTTCCCCATAAGAAATAATGGAAACTCAGATGATTCGTTCCACAACCCAAAAATGTTCATATAAAAATGATTACAATACTGTAATATAATACAAAATAATAAAGAAAATACAAAATATAAAGAAAAATAAATTAACCTGCACTTACTTTTGAAAACCTTCGTGGCTGGTGTGAGGGAGACAAGAGCGAGGAGGGTTATTGTGTAGAACTATCACTAACGGAATCACTGCTATCTATTGGCTCAATGGAATCTTTTTCTTTTCGTGCAGCTCTAACTAGGAACCTATCTAATAACGCTTGCTTTTGCCTCCTTTTGTGGAATTCGTGGAAATGTGACACTGCAATGTCTTTAAGCAGATTCATTGCTCGCACTGCTACAGTCTTATTCAGCCGGCGATTTTCTACAAAATTTTGCACTGTTTCCTACATTTTATACATCTCCCTAATCTCATTTGAAGTGAGGGATTCCTCCACCTTTTTCTCCTCCCCTGCAGACGAGATCTCCTCCATAACCTCCTGCTGTTGTTCGTGATGCAGATTCATCACTTTGTCGGTGGTCAACTCCTGGCCACGTTCCTGCACCAGCTCAGTTGTGATCATGTGATGTTCGGCATCACGTACTACTTGTATTGCAAGACATCACTCGCTTATCAAGTTAAAATTTATTAGAAATGTTTGCTCGTCTTACAGAACACTTGCAGAACAAGTTACTCGTAATCCAAGGTTTTACTGTAGTTAGGAGTGGGGAGGAGAGACGCCAGAGTTGGGGAGATACTGAAAAAAAACAATCAAGAGTTTCACTACAAGTACTTTGCAATATCCAGTCAAGGAAATGGCAGAGATCTATGGGAAGAAAGTATAGGAAAGGGCCTGAGGTGGGAGATGCATATTTGTCTCTCTCAAAAAGAACATCTTCAACAAGGCAGTTCTTGGGCCAGTAGTCACGACATTTTCCTCTGGAGGGGAATCTCTTTTGAAGAACTAACCCTCCAAAAACACAAAATCTCAAACTAATGGAACATATTTTTCTCTCCCTTATTTCACCTTTTAATGTAATACATTTAAAAAAGTATTTTCACATAAACCCGATTAACTCTGAAGAAATAATCCATCTAATCCAACTCAAATGAAGGTAAAAGGAATAATCAGGCTCCTATTATGCAAAATGGTGCTCAGTTAATTTATTGCTCCACACTGAATAATAAGCTGTTAGTTTCCACATTCCTTTTTGCACGTTAGATCAGATAGCTTATTACTGCTGGAACTTATTTCATATGGCATACAATTTGGATATATTACAATGGAGTAGGTATTCGTCCATTATAAGAGACAGACTTAAGTACTTCATTTATAGGATCTCTCCATTTAGGAAATGGCAAGGGAGAAGGAGAAATGCAAACAAGGTAATGAGCAGAGGGGGACTGATATGTGTTGCCCGTTGACCAGCTGTGCTGTAGGGGCTGCTGGTTGCCGTGCAGGGGCCGGTGCCTTGGAGAAAAGCAACGTTTCCAGTGGGGGAAAAAATATCCAAAGAGAGTCTTATGTTCCTTTTCAGGGAAGTGTTGACGTTTTAATTACTTTCTGTTTTCTTTGGAGCTACATTTGAAAACTGGAAGCAAGTTAGAAAAATAAGAATTGGCTTTATTAGAAATCAGATGAATTGACATGCAGCCATGAGCTGGAGAAAGTCCAGATTCAGCTCTTGACAAACTCAGCTCTCCAGCAGGACCCAGAGAGTCAAAAAACACTCAGCCATTGAAAAACCAATCAGAAGAATTCCTACTTGGGGCTTATCATCTCTGAGAACAGACCTTGCCTCTGTGAAATCTAATCTTTTCTGGCCAAGGGGGCCCCTGTGCTTCACTTTCGTAATTTTTGGTTTTTTTCCCTTTAAACTTTGGTCTCACAGGGGTTGTGAGGATAAGTACAACAGGGATGCAAAGCAAAAGGAGAATGACCATGGAGACTCGGAATGAGTTGGGGGAAATTGGAGGGTTTAGAATTATTTAGGTTTGAATATAATTTGATGCTTTTGGTATTTTATAAAAGAAACCTGCCCATGGAAGTGAGGGTGGACCCAGAGTAAATAGTTTAAAGAGATCTGATATCTGTGCACCTTCTCTTCCTGCACCTGGACTTGCCGAGAATTGAATAAATATTTAGCAAAACCAGAGTATCTACATGTGTTCCAGGATCAGCAAAGCTAAAAATAGTAACTCAGTACAAGATTGAAATTAAAAAATCCCAACAACTCCAACCAGCATGTCTGCGGTGCCCGAAAATGTGGCACCTGAGGACATAGGCCCTTCCTGTCCCTCCCCCGCCTCCTCCAGCCTTACTATATTCTGGGGACAGTGTGACAACTCCCCTAAGCTTAGACCAGTCAATTCAGTAATAAGTGCATCAAAATGAGTCCCTAAAAATATCTAATATCTACTGTGTGCCAGGTGCTTTAAATACACTATGCAATTTTTCAGAAAGGCCTATAAGGAGATATTACCTCTCCTATAGACGTTATTTCTATTTTACAAACGAGAACACTGAGGCTCAGGCAAAGTAAGTACATTTGTAAGTTACATAAACTTTTCTTATAAAACATTTCAGGCATATGCGAAAGAAGATAAAATAGTGTAATGAAACTCTCTGTGTTTATTTTACTTCCCCCACTCTGGGTCAGTTTTCCACACGAACGTCTGCTGCACCCCATTATTTTGAAGCAAATCCCAGACATCATGTCATTTCATCTGCATATCTTGCAATGTGTCTCTAAGAGATAAGCGTTCTTTAAAATAACAACAATACCTTTACTACACCTAAAAACATTGACAATAATCCCTAATATCAAATATGCAGTCAGTGCTTACCTATCTCCAATTGTCTTACAATCTTTTCTAAACAGCCTGTTTGAATCAAGGTCCATACATTGCGATTGTCTGATGTTTTTTAAGATCTTTTTAAATCTGTAGGTCCCACCTTCATCTCTCTTTCTTTTTTTTTTTTCCTTTTAATTTTTGGTGAAGACATGGGATTGTTTTTCCTGAAGATTTTCCAACAGTCTGAATTTTCTTGATTGCATTTCCTGAGGTGTTCTCAAATATATGTGTCCATTTGTTCCTTGTACTTTCTGTACATTTACAGTTAGCACTAGAGATTTTATTTATTAGACTCTGGTTCCATGTTTGGGGCAAGACTAAGTCATAAGTTGTGATATATAGTTCCGCAAATGGAAATGTGTGTGTGTGTGTGTGTGTGTGTGTGTGTGTGTGTGTGTGTAATGTTATCAACCACTGAGGATTTTTTGCCTGGATCCATGCATTTTTTAGCTATTGCAAAGTTGTGATATCATTATTTCATGGTTTTAAAAATAGTCATTTTTTTAGAGCCATTTTATATTCACAGCAAAATTGAGTGGAAAGCACACAGAGTTCCCATATGTCTCTGCCCACCCCATCTTGACATCCCAACATCTTCCACTTTCACAGATCAGCACATTGTCACGATGAATGAACCCACACAGACTTGTCATCATCACTCAGAGTCCATAGTGTGCATTAGGGTTCACTCTTAGTGTTGTACATTCCATAGCTTTTGAAAAATGTATAATGGCATGTATCGTTCAATGATTTCTTTTTCATTTATTAACCAGGATACTTCTGTGAAGAGAAACTCTCCCCTCATTATCTCTTTGGTGAGGTGAAGTGAAGTTCATATAAGGAACCCAGGATAAATTCTTTCCCTTTATCTACCATATGCAGAATAGTGAGTTGCTTCTCTCTGGTATTCTCTAAAGTGAACACAAGTCGTTTCATTTTTATTGTAGTATCACTAAGAATTCATGTATTTAAACAGTATTGATGTGTTTCAATGCACTATTGTATATATGTACATATATAACTCGATGGAAAACTTCTAGGTCCCCAATGTCTATGAATCTACATTATTTTGCTGTCTTGATTGGAAGAAAGTAATGCTTGAGGCAGTTTAAAATTTTATCTTAACGTACTCTTTTCCATTTATTGACTCTTACAAAGATTCTCCTGAGTCTCTGAGGATGGCAGAAAACCTTGCTTTACTGCTACAAAAACAGAAACAGCTATTTATATAGACATAAGAGCAGGGAAAAAGAAGGAAGAAGATAGGAAGAAAATAAAAACAGAGTAAGCAAATGACTATTAAAAACTAACCTGATTAATTGATAGGCTACTGGGTAGTCTGGGGAAATTATTGCAGTTCATTTATTTCTATGGTGTCATGTGACATTACTGTGAAGCGGTTAAACTTGAGGGCTTGAGGTTCAGACTGCTTGGGTCAAAGCGCCAGTTCTGGGACTTTCTAGTTGTGTCAGATTGTCCAAATTCCTTCTCTGTGCCTTAGCTTCTCCATCAGTGCAATGGAAATAAAACAGCATGGGCTCATAGGGGTAAAATAAGTGACTACATAGAAAGTGCTTAGATTGCTCATAGTAAACGCTAACTGATTTTGTTGTAGTGATGATAATAATTATAAATACTCGTATGTGGATGGCAAAATACTGCCTCTTTCTGGACACAGAGAAAAAGCGTAAAACTGATATTTGTTGAGTAATTACTAGAGGCAGGTACTGAACTAGCATCTGATTACATATATATATATATATATGTATAATTGATATATATGTATAATTGATATATATATATAATCAATTTTAGCATTAAAAATGTCTATCACCATTATTTATTACTTATTCTAGTACAGTAACTGCCATAGGGAAGATACAATATACCTTTTTTTAAATGTGAATTGAGCAATATTATTAGGTGTATTTGATCCATGTTAGGTTTTGCTAACATCTACAAAGAACTTTTATAAGACACAGGGGGATACAACACTAGCAAAGAACAGAACTTTAGCCTCCTGTGGGAAAGGCTTAACGGACAAATCCCCGTAAAGGTGTTCAAGCACTAACGTGGGCAGCAAGGTGCTAGTGAGTCACACAATTCTAGTATTGCCCATAACAAATCAATATTCACCACAATTTTTTCCCTACACAGGAAAAGAGAGAAAGAAAAGAGGAACAATTTTCGAATCACTCCTCCGACCACGGAAATGCTTTTAATTACCAGTTCATCTGTTGGCACACTCTTCTGGCAGAGATGTACCTGTAAGTTGGAAAGATAACAAATGAACCGGTTTCTTACTCTGCAGCTGACACTGATGGTGCTTGCTGAATTTGCTCTCAGCAAAGGATCCTGGGCAACAATACATCTGGCACTCTGTTCAGGCATTTGTCACATCGTTGACATGCTCAGCCTCCATTGTCCACACAACCCTGACAGCAAGTTCTTTATATTTCAAAGAAATTGCGGTCTGAATTAATATAATTAGAATGTAACTGCTATTCACTGCATAAACTCTTCATTTCCAGGAGTACAGATCTGATAGTATGTCTGTGCTCAAAATCTTCCCAGTGATAGTTGGAGGGGAGCAAGCAGATGATAAAATGACAGAATATGCACTATTTCATCAGCCTCTTTTAGTACAGGAGGAGAAGAAAACTGTCCTATCTCTGGCATGTCTAAATAGAAACATCTTTCAAGTTGACCATGCTGTATAGCACTTTTATAAAATATGCAGTATAAGGTATCTGAAGTAAGAGAAAGAAAAAAAAACCCAGATAATTATATGAAGTAGAATGGATAATTCATGGATAGCATTAGAGAATTAAAAGGTAGTTGGAGGACTGTCCAAGTGGCTCAGTTGGTTAAAGGCGTGAGCTCTGAGCAACACGGTTGCCGGTTCAATTCCCATATGGGCCGGTGAGCTGCGCCTGAGATGAGCTACTGCTGAGCTGCCAACAGGTGGCAGGATGGCTCAGCTTGTGAGAGCACACGCTCCTAACAACAAGGTTGCTGGTTCAACTCCCGCATGGGATGGTGGGCCCGCAACTAAGATTTAACACGGCACATTGAGCTGAGTGGCCGCGAGCTGCCAACGGGTGGCCGGATGGTGACTGGACTTGGAGCTGAGCTAGCTGCGCCCTCCACAACTAACCTTGAAGGACAATTTGGCTGTTCCCCTTTCCCAATTCCCCAATAAAATGTTAAAAAAAAAAGTAGTTGGATAACTTCATGCATGCTTTACTGCTTCACTTTGAGTGGTCTACGAGGTCTGACAATTATGTGCACACATTCATCCTAGAAAGAGTGCTACATACCTCACTGCTGAATATCACTACGGTCACCTTTTTATTTATTTATTTATTTATTTATTGGGGAATTGGGGGGGTGGGAACAACACTGGGGAATCGGGGAAGAGGAACAGACAAGTTGCTATCCTCTTTTGTTCTTCAGTCTAGTTGTGGAGGACGCTGCTTCACTGGCCCAAGTTGGCACCATCATTGCGTTCTTCCCAGGTGAGGTACATCAGTCGCCAGCTTCTGGACGGCCACTCACAGCAGCTGCTGGCCACTCACGCTGGCTGCCAGCTACACACGGCAGCCCATGGCAACCCCCTGCCACAGGGGCTGCAGCCTATGCCGTCGCTGGCGACTCAGGGCATCCCAGCTCCAGGTTGAGCTGTTGTTCAGCATCTTAGCTGTAGAGGGCAGTGTCACTGGCCCTCATATGTGGGATCC